AATAGCAAAGTAAAAAAAAAAAAAGAATACACAGCTTTTTCCATGCAGAAATTACTCACTTGTTAAGTTATTTAAGTAGATCTTAGTGAAGGATAGTAGAGAAATTATATCCTTTTAGGAGAGACTCAAAACATTAAAGGAATACTAGGATGGCTTTAAGAAAGAGACCTTACCATTTTGTTAGAGAGAATTCCCACTTCCCTTAGGATGGCAGCCATGTGTACATTGAAATTAATATTTGTAGTTTTCTTACTTTCTGAATTACACTATAAGCATGAACTAGTTGATCAGAGCCCTGAGCTCAGAGGATTTGGGAGATGGGGCTTTGAAAGTGTGGGTGATCTTAGGTGACAATTTGGGGAAAGCACTAATTCTGAGAGAATGGAAGATACCTCATAAGGGTGGGGGTTTGTCCTTTGGAGGATTGGTAGTGAAAGGGAAGAAAGAAGCAACTGAAGACAAGGGTCTAAAAGAAATAAGATAATTTTTTTTAGAAAGACAAATTCTGTACCCACCACCGCCACAAAAAGTACTATTTATTCAAGAGTGTACACTTCACTCTGTTCACAGAGGAGGGTGCTCTTGAACTGAGAAACCTAATAAGCTAACTTATCTCTCTTCTCAACGCAACTTGGTACTGATGATCCTGGAGAAAACAAGTACGGATAATCTTTAACAGAAAAAGAAGGCAGGGGTGCCTGGGTGGCTCTGTCGGTCAAGCGTTCGGCTTCCGCTGAGTTCATGATCTCATGGTTTGTGAGTTTGAGCCACATCAGGCTCTGTGCTTACAGCTCAGAGCCTGGAGCCTGCTTCAGATTCTGTGTCTCCCTTTCTCTGCCCCTTGCCCCCCCTCCTCAAAAGTAAATAAACATTTTTAAAAAAGAAGAAAAGAAAAAGAAGCCAGGAGCTGTATAAAGTTGCTATAAGAAAACAAAATTTAAATAACACCTTTTACACACGCACACACGGGGTGGGGGTAGGGAGAGAGAACGAAAGGAACAATAAAAGAAAAGCCACAAAACAGAAGAAACCTGAAATACAACACTAGAACATGAATAGCCTATATTAAGCAAGCAATTGCATTATTGAAGAACACCGTGAATCAGAGTTCCAAAACTCACAACTAAAATGTACAAACAACAGGAAGATGTATGAAACAGGAACTGATTGAACTCTGGAAAGAAATCGATAGAAGACAAAAATCATTTTAGAAATGAAAACTAAATCAGAAGGCACCCAAGTGAAGATAGAAATTACCAAAAGTTCAGTAAGGGACATAAAGAATAGAAATGAGAGAGAGTCAAGGAAATGAAACTGAAATAGGAAAGCTAAAAGGACCAGAGAGAGAGAGAGTGATAGAGAAAATCCAATATATTTAGTTCAAGAAGCTGAACTAGAAAAGCAAATGGAAAATGAACAGAAATAACACTTAAAATGATAATAAACTTTTCTGAAATAAAAGGAGATCTTCATTTCTATACTGAAAGATCTGTGTGCCTGGGAGAATTGATCTAGAACAACTGACTTAGCTATATCCTATGGATACATGGACACATAGATATGTATTAGACCTTAGAAGTATAAAAAAGACCAAGCCTCCAAGCCAAAACATAAAAATAATTTTAAAATTTAAAATATATTAAAAATGAAACTAGGAGCACCTGGGTGGCTCCAGTCTGTTGAGGGTCCAAATCTTGATCTCAGCTGAGGTCTTGATCTTAGGATTGGGAGTTCAAGCCCTGTGTTGGGCTCTGTGCTGGGCGTGGAGCCTACTTAAAAAAAAAAAAATAAAGAAAAAATGAAAATAATTAAAATTGAAAGAAAATCAGCTTTGATATCACACTTCTATCAACGTATAAATTAAGAAAATGATGGAGAGACATTTTTAAGAAGTTAAAAATGAGAAATAATTGTAATTTGTTGTGAAACATTAAGTAAAACACTTCTAAGTCCATAGTGATAAGTGATAACCAAGAGTTCTTGTGAATTGTGCTTGGAATGACTTTTTAAAAATGTCTTGCAGTTATTAAGAAATTTTTCAAACCTACCCTTGGTTGATGCATACTAAAGTGTTTGGATGTGAACTGTCATATCTGCAACTTACTTTCAGATGTTTCAGAAAAAAATAAAACAATAACAAAAAATATATAGAAATATGTCTGGAATTTTTCATACCAACTATTTGACATTTTTAAAAAGTCATTCAAAACAAATTGCTAGATTTCCAATATTTTTGTATCTTTTATATTGAGAGACATTTTGTGAATGAAATGTATTCCATCTTATATATTGTTACTTTAGATTTTTGGAATAAACAGGAACGAGTGCCTTTTTCATATTTGTATGTACTCTTAGAAGTACTGAAATGATTTAATCTTTATTCATTTGTTTCAGCAGATATTTATTGAAATTGTAGGAATCAAGGCAGTGGCACCAAACTGTATTGAGTAGTCATTGTATTCTTCCCCTCCACAGACACACAGTAAAAAAAAAAAAATACAAATATATGTCGGTTTCACTTAGAAATCTCTTTGATGATGAAGGAAAAAATTTGAGTTGAGTGATTTTATGATTGAATTGTGGTAGCTATTTATATATCCTTGCTACAAATCCTTTTTGAGATATACGATTTGCAAAAATTTTCTCCCATTCTGTAGGTTGTTTTTTCACTTTCTTGAAGCACAGAAGTTTTAAATTTTGATGATATTTGATGTATCTATTTTTCTTTTGTTGCTTGGTATGTGTTTTATATACCTAAAAATGTAGATAGGCTTTTTAAATATACATTGTGAAGTTGAACATTTTAAAATAATGGGGTTTTGATAATGGACTTTTTATTTTATTTTATTATTATGTATTGTATTGTATTGTATTGTATTGTATTGTATTGTATTGTATTGTATTTGATTGTTAATTGTGGTAAAATGTGTTAGTCTGCTAAGGCTGCCATCATGCAGCACTATAGACTGGGTAGCTTAAACAACAGGAATTTATTTTCTCACAATTGTGGTGGCTAAAAGTCCAAGATCAAGGGGTTGGCAGGACTGGTTTCTTCTAAAGCCCTTTCTCCTTGAATTATAGATGGCCATGTCTTCCCTCAGTGTCTTCACTTGGTCTTTACTCGGTCTGCCTGTGTCTTAATCTCCTCTTTTTATAAGGATGTTATCACACTGGATTAAGGCCTACCCTAATGACTTCATTTAACCTTAATTACCTCTTTAAAGACCCTGTCTCCAAATCAGTCTTATCTTGAGGTACTCGTTCAACATACAAATTTTGGGAGGATACAGTTCAGCCCATAACATAAATGTGACATAAAATTTACCATTGTAATCATTTTTAAATATCCAGTTCAGTGGCTAAGTACATTAACATTATCATGTAACCATCGTCACTATCTATTTCCAGAACTTTTTCATCTTTCGATACTGAAACTACCCTTTATTTTTTTTAATCTTTACTATTATTTTTTATTTGAGAGAGAGAGAGAGGAGAGAGAGTGCCACGAGCAGGGGAGAGTGGGGGTGGGGGAGAAAGAGAAAGAGGGAGAGAAAGAATCTTAAGCAAGTTCCACACACAGCACGGAGCTCAGTGGAGCTCGATCCCACAACCCTGGGATCATGAGTTGAGCCAAAATCAGGAGTTGGACGCACAACCAACTGAGCCACCAGGCATTCCTGAAACTACCCAGTAAACAATAATTCTCTGTTCTCTCCTACTTTGCCCCGGCAATCACCATTCTGCGTTTTGTCCCTATAACGCAATGTTTTAAGACAATTTTTTTTTATCATGAGTGAGTCTTCAAAATTCCCCCAAATTAATTACTTTTATACTTATTCTGCAAGGTATACAGATTTTTATCTAGTTACGAGGTTCTTTAAGCTCTTAAATCATAGGCAAAATTTTGTCCTTATTTATATATCTGCCTATTTTTGGGGATAGGTTCCAGATTTCTCATCATCAGATTCCTTAATGGTAGCCCTAGACTAGTCTCTTTGATTATTTTTCAAGATAAATCAAGGTTAAATTTTTAAAATTCAGTTTTTAAGTCGATAAGTTGCTATATAATTTATAGATAAAAATGGGTGAATACGTTTAGTTCCTTTTATTTTGAAATCTGATGATTTCCTATTTCAAAAAAGGGTCAATTTTTTAAAAACATTTTTTCTAATTCTCTTCACTTGGGGAGATTTTATTTTTATTTCTACTGTGCACTTTACTATTTTATACTATATTAGGTCTTATTATGTGAACTCTGCATCTCATCGTAAGTGGAGATATTAAAGAAAATATTTTTCAATATAAAATAACAGCCTCTCAGTTATTGTTGTCTTCATTTTATTCACATATTCATTCAGCAAACATTTATTGAGTATTGTAAGTAAACACTGGATATACAAGAAAGACTAAGACATGGTTTTTGTCTTCAGGGAGGTCAAAGTGTGTCTTAAACAGGCTTAAATAATTATCTTTGCAGGAAGAGTAAATAAAGGAGGGATTGGTGGTTGGTCCAAACAGGAAACAGAATGCAGAGCATCAGAGAGGCGTGGAGCTAAGGCCCACTGGCAGGTGGCCAGTAGTTGGGGATGTGGTTGACAACAACAGACCGTTACCTAGAGGAGGAGTTGCTGGACATGGAGGTTGAATGTGTTCTGAGCCAGGTTTTGAAGTCCTTTAAATACCATATTAAAAAGCACACCCTATAAATGGGAAATTCTTAAATAGTTTTAAGTCTCAGAGTAAAAGACAGAATCCAAGAATATTAGATAATGTTAACTAATCTTATTACATTGTAATTAAATGCAATTTGAATGTATTTATGGTTACATCATTTAAAAATTATCACTAGGTGGTTTTTCATAGGTTTTCATAAATACTAGTTACTTCAGAAACATTAAGTATAGATTTTTAATAGTTTTCATATTTGGCATATTTAGATATTTGCCATATTTAAAAATAGTATTTACCTTAGTCGTGTGTTTTCTAACTCCTTTTTTCAGATATGAGAAAGAGTGGATGGATGAGGAACTAATGGAACCTCTGAAATATGCTGAACAACTTCCTGTAGCTCAGATAATACACCAGGTTTGCTTTCCATTTTATTCTTTTGAAAGAAACAAGATTTTTAATCTTTGAAAAGTAATTGTGTTTGTTGGGTTTTTCAGAATCAATGTGCTATAGCTGAAAGGCATTCCAGGCCATCTATCCCTATTTGGACTCCACCTATTACAGTTGAAAGTCTCATTCAAAGCACAATATTAAAAGGCTACTTGCTGTGTATAGTGGAATTCTTATATAAAATACAGGGTAAAATCAGAATTATCTTTTGTTCATTACTTAACAACAAGACTTAATTTCAGAAAACTTTCATTTGAACCATTGTGTATAGTTCTTGTTAGTGACAAGGAGAAAGAGCTGAAAAATTGTCATTTGGTGTAATTTTTTTGAGTAGCTAAAATAAGAAAACAGTCTTTCCTTACTTCCTTCACCCTACCCCATTATCAGCTCTTGTAAAGTGTAATTCTAAATGTCATGTGGGCAGGTTTTTTTTTTTTATCCCCAATTATAATGACTCTATCATCCCTTCTGCATAACTATAATCTTAGAGAAGGCAGTGTGGTAGGTATTTAAACTAAGATTTTGTAGTGTGATTTTGATAGCATATGAAGTCTGGCTCTGCCCTGGACAGATCCTAATTTTAAATGGTCTGTTGACAAGAGACAAGAGGCATGGCCTTGAGAACTACCTGATTTTTCAGAATCTATAGATTAAAAGCCCTTAAAAATCGGAATATGTCAGAATTTTAGTGCCTGTTCATTATTATTATGAGCCTTTCCATATGTCTTTGTTAACCAAAAGAATTTTCACTTAGCTAATTTGGTTTGATTAGAAGAAGTACTGGTTTGAGCTTATTAAAAGAAATAGGCTTTTACTTTTAAATGATGACTATAGAGATCTTTTCATTGACATCAAAATTTAATATTAAATTCTATGAGATATTACAAAAAAAAACAAACAAACAGAAATTTGCTGCCTTGGGAAGCCTATCTGTGTTTGGTAATCAGGTCCAGTATATATGTCAGGAATTCCCTAGTGTTGTCAGAGCTTAAATGACCTAACAGCCTGCAAATGTCACATTTAAAATTCTGTCTTCATGCCTGACTCTCAGTATAAATGAATTAAACAGCAGAGCAGGCAGCAAGTCAATATGTTCTTAACAGTAAGAGTGAGCAATGAAACAGTTTGTGGTTTGTTCAGAATAGGTAAATAGAATCTGCCCAGAGCAGTTCACCTGGAATAAAATCTGAAACAGGAAACAAGAATTAACCTTTAGGATGGTTGACCAGATGAAATGTCAGTCATATTTTTATAGCATGAATGAACCAGTAAACTATGCTTTATGTAACAGCTGCATTTTGCTATTATACACTGTATGAATTCAAAGATGGAAATTTCTGACCCTGGTGAAAATTTTTATTGTGATATTTTTGGCAATATAAGAAGTTACATTAACTTTAACACTGAATTATAAACATTAATATAGAGTACCTGAAGTTATAAAATTTAAATTTTGAAGAAATTTGCATGATAAGTTTTTTTTTTTTAATTTTTATTGAATAAGATTAATTGTGTTCTCAAGGGGTAATCAGGAATGGACACTGTTAAACCAGGCTCTTATTTATTCTTCTTGTTATTTCCTTTTATTGACAGTACTACAATTGTAGGACTGTTACCATTATGTGTCCAAGCAATCTTTAAGAAATATATGAATTCTGGGGCGCCTGGGTGGCGCAGTCGGTTAAGCGTCCGACTTCAGCCAGGTCACGATCTCGCAGTCCGTGAATTCGAGCCCCGCGTCAGGCTCTGGGCTGATGGCTCGGAGCCTGGAGCCTGCTTCCGATTCTGTGTCTCCCTCTCTCTCTGCCCCTCCCCCGTTCATGCTCTGTCTCTCTCTGTCCCAAAAATAAAAAAATAAAAAACGTTGAAAAAAAAAATTAAAAAAAAAAAAAAAGAAATATATGAATTCTGTTGCTAGCAGTTCACTACAGGTGAATTATTTGAAAGCAGTTTCTTTCCTGTAAGAGAATAGTAATACATGTGATAATTAGTTCACCCAGTCCCCCAAAAGCTTTTTAATCAGTACTATATCCAAATTATGGCGTAATTGTTGTATATGTGTAACCTCTACTGTTAACTCTTCTTATACGATAAGTAACTATTTTCCTCCAATCTTGAATCATGCTTAATTTATGCCTGTTTTGGAGCATGTACCATTTCTGTTTGAAATAACATGCTTTATTCACATGCCTTTCATCTCTTATTTGAGATCTCTTATTTCAGGACACTCTTGATTTCTTGATACTCCTTTCAGCATCTTACCTTGTGCCATGTATGCATTTACCTGAATGGCCAGATATGTATTTTTAATGGTTCACTGAGAGCCAGCAGCACCTCTTTTCCTTACTGCCAAGACATGAGAAGCCAGAGCCTCTCACTAGTAGCGTAGTTTAGAAGCTGTAGGAGAGGAGGAGCAGGGACAGGGACTGTAATATGAGGAGCAACGTGAGAAGTGGAAGAGAGAGTGATGGGTCTCAGTATTCTGAGTAATTTCTTGTGTATGTTACTCAAATAGCATTTTACAGTCAGGAGCTAAGTAAGATTCTCAGTGATGCCATTTTATACTGCCAAATAATTTCCATTTTTTAAGGGTCCTAGCAAATATAATAGTACATCTAGGTAACACAGAGATTCAAGTTATAAACAATAGAATTAATAAAAGAATCTGGTAAGATAGCCAGATATAAGATAAGTAAAACTGATAGCTTCTCTGTATTTACAGTAAGCACAAAGAATGGAAATGGAAAAAAATTTCTTTCACAACAGTGAGAAAGAACTATAAAATACTTAGGGGGTACCTGGGTGGCTAAATCGGTTAAGCATCTGACTTAGGCTCAGGTCATGATCTCATGGTTAGTGAGTTCGAGCCCAGCGTTGGTCTCTTTGCTGACAGCTCAGAGCCTAGAGCCTGCTTTGGATTCTGTGTCTCCTTCTCTCTGCCCCGCCCCTGCTCACGTTCTGTCTGTCCGTCTCTCTCTCTGAAAAATAAACATGAAAAAAAATTTTTAAATAAAATTTAATTAAAATACTTAGGAATAAATTTAACAAGTAAAGCACAGGACCTGTATAATAAGAAATATAGAAACACACCATGCTTCATAAACAGAAAGGCATACCAGTACTTGGTGGGTGTAGGGAACTTAATGCCCTAAAAGTAAAATTTCTTCCAAATTAGCAATCCTAATTAAAATGGAGGCAAAATGACTTTTTTAATGTTAAGAAAAAATTGACCACATAGTTCATGTGGAAGAACAAATGTCTAATAGTAGCTAAAAGGGAGATGGCCTTACCAGAACACAGCCACTTGAATTAGACACACATGGTATGGACAAAGGAATAGACAAATGGATTAGTGGAATACAATGGTGGAGTGGATCTCAAACTTCATTCATTACAATTCACAATAAGAAATGCATTTTACATGCATTATGACCCTTGATGTATGTGTTTATATATTTGTGTTAGAAATAAAAATTTCATGATATATTTACCCTCATTATATATGATGCATACTGATATTTTGTTTTTCTATTTTATATTTTTAAAAGTCCAAATAAAGCCTACTAAGTTGATTTTAAAAGCAGCAAGTGTCCTGACCTGTGATTTGAAAGATATTAAAATAGATAATCCAAAGAAAAAATTCATTTTATTTCATTATTTAATATATGATTAAGACGATATATCATTTCAGTAGAAAACTGCTTAAATTTCTAATTCATACTGTATATGATGTAAGTTTTCTACAGATTAAAGACTTAGAGTAAAATAAATAAAAATTTTAGAAGAAAATCTAGGCAACTGCATTTTAATCTGGAAGTAAGGTAGAATGTTTTAGTGAACACAAAACCCGAAAGATATGTTCAGCTCTATAAAAATAGAATATTGTGTACAACACAAAATACCACAACATTAAAGGACTAATGTTAGAATCAAGACAAAATGTTTACAAAGAAGACAAAAGTAAATTAGTTAATATCCAAAATATACACAAGACTCTTAGAAGTTTATAAAAGCAAACAAAACAACTCAGTAGACAAAAAAGACAAAAGAGATGAAAAGCAATTCAGAGAAAACAAACCTAAATTACCAATGGACGAAAGGAAAGAGTCTCAAACTCAGTAAGGAAGTGTGCATTACAAAGTCAGTGAAACGATTTTATGTCCTTCAAATTGGCAAAAATTAAAAAGACACTTTAGAAAAACAGTTTGACAGTTCCTCAAAAGGTTTAAATGTAGAGTTACCATATGACCTGGTGATTCCAACCTAGGTATATAAAAACATACATCCACACAAAAACTTATACGGCAGCATTATTCATAATAGCCAATAATTTGTGGTAACAGCCCAAATGTTCATCAACTGATAAATGGATAAGTAAAATAAGTGTTTCCATACATGGAATATTATTCAATGATAAAAGGGAATGAAGTACTGATATATGCTACAACATGGATGAACCTTGAAAGCAGTATGTTAAGTAAATGAAGCCAGTCATAGAAGACCATATATTGTATGGTGTCATTTGTATGAAACGTCAAGAATAGGTTAATTTATATAGAGAGAAAGTAGATTAGTGGTTGCCTAGGACTGGAATGAGGTAGGGAAATGGGGACTCACTTCTGAATGGGTACGGGTTTCATTTTTTGGAGTGACAAAGTTGTTCTAAACTTAGTGGTAATCATTGCAAAGCTCTGTGAATATACTAAAACTGTTGAATTGTACATGTTAAAAGTACAAATTTTACATTGTCTGAATTATATCTCAATTAAGGTATTTTAAAAATTAAAAACGTCCATTTCTGGCAGAGACGCTAGGAAAAACGTATGTGTATACCTTGTTGCTAGATACCGAAATCATTTCTTTTTATAAGGTCATCTTGTAACATCTCTTCACATTAAATATATACAGTATACCCTTCAACCTAATAGTTCCACTCATGACAATGTAGCCTGTACTACTAATATATA